CGTCAGCTCGTCGGTAGTCTTGTCTATCTCACAGTCCCTCGTCCTGACATTGCCTATGCTGTTCACATTGTCAGTCAGTACATGTCGGCTCCTCGCACTCCCCACTATACTGCTCTACCCCGCATCCTTCGCTACCTCAAAGGCACTCTGTTCCATGGTCTTCACTTCTCTGCTTCCTCCTCTCTTGACCTCCGTGCCTTTTCCGATGCTAATTGGGCTGGGGATCCTACGGATCGACGCTCCACCATGGGCTTCTGCTTCTTCTTAGGGGATTCTCTTCTGGCTTGGCGTAGCAAAAAACAATCCCTCACTGCCCGCTCTAGCACCGAAGCTGAATACCGAGCTCTTGCTGATACTACTCAGGAACTTCTCTGGCTTCGTTGGCTTCTTGCTGATATGGGTGTTTCTTCATCTGCTCCTACCCCTCTCTACTGTGACAATCAGAGTGCCATTCAGATTGCTCACAATGATGTTTTTCATGATCGCACCAAACATATTGAGATTGATTGTCATTTCATTCGCCAGCATGTTACCTGCGGTACTGTTCATCTTCTTCCTATTGCTTCAGTCGATCAACCCGCTGATATCTTCACTAAAGCTCATCCTCCTGGCCGCTTCAATGATCTTGTTTCCAAACTCAACTTGGTTGATGCTTTCCCTCCTTGAGTTTGCGGGGGGCTGTTAGTCTATAATTGTATATAATTGTTAATTGTATACTTGTTAATTGTTAACTTTAGCTTTAGCTTTATTCCTTTAGCTTTAGCTTTATTTCTTTAAGCATTAGTCTTTATACTTTCGGTGGTAGTGGGTTTGTTTGGTATCCAATGTGCCATATTTCTCTCTATAAAGAGAGAGTTCATTCTCTTTGAATATGTAATATACAGAAATATTTCAGAGTCTCTCTCTCGCTCTCTAGCTTCTCTCACTCTCTCAAACTAATCTTTCAACACTGTCAAGGTAAATATTAACGTGTGTTTCACCTTATTATTATTAGGGGTATTTTAGTAACTATGTTACCCACGAGATTTATTCAAATATAAGAAATAATTTAGACTAGTAGAATATAAGTAAGTGAAGAAGGATTTTTGAATATAAGTGCCCCCAGGATTTTTTGGGTAAATTACACTTTACCCCTTTATATTTGATAATTTTCTCACTTCGGCCCTTGAAGTTTTTTTTTTTTATTTTACTTGCCATTTATGTTCCAAATTTTTTTTTTCAATTTACTCCTAAGGCTAATTTATGTTCAAAATTAGACAAAAAAAATGACATATTGATAGTCACGTGATATAAAAATATTTTATTATTTATTACTCGCACCTCTGACACAAACTCAAACTCTATTATAATAATATTTTTTTTATGTTATGTGGCAATTAACGTGTCATTTTTTGTCTAATTTTGAACATAAGTTAACCTTAGATGTAAATTTGAAAAATTTTAAACATGAAAGGCCAAAGTGGAAAAATGACCAAACATAAAGGGGGGCAAGTATAATTTATCCTCCTTTTTTTTTTAAAAAAAAAATTAGGATTTGTTCAGTCTGTTAACCTCATCAGCATCTATCCATCAATCCACACTACAAGAATTTACACATTTGCCGACCACTTTTGCCGACCAAAAAAATTTTGGTCACAAAAAAATGACATTTGGCGACCAAATATTAATTAGTCGCGAATGATCAATATTTTTGGCCACCAAATATGAGTTGGTTGCAGAAGGTCACATTTTGGCGACCAAAAATGAGTTAGTCGCAGAAATTGGTATGCTTTTGGCGACCAACTACAAATTTGGTCGCGGAAGGTTACATTTTGGCGACCAAAAAAAATTAGTCGCCAAATTAGTACTTTTAGCGACTAATATTTTAGTCGCCGTTGATTGAGATTTGGCGACTAAAAAAGTTTGTTGGTGAAGGTACCTTTTCTGCGACTAATATGGTGTTTTGGTCGCCAAAAGTTTGGGAGGGAAATTTGAAACATGGAGGGGGAAATGCAATTTTTTGGCGACAAAAAAAATTTGGTCACCAATCAAAAAACGACATCGTTTTGTACCTGCAAAATAGAAAAAAAAAATTAAAAAAAGGCCCTGAGCTCCTTTTTGTCGAGTCCGGATCGTCTGCCGTGGTTTCCTGCAGTGGCTCCTGCGGCGGTCCAAAACGACGTCGTTTTGGACCTTTTTTTTTTTTTCTCTTTCTCTCTCTTTGCTGTTAAGCCTCTTTCTTCCCTTTCATCTCTCACCCAAACACACAGACGAAGATGGATGGCCATAGAATGGATTCAACTCAGCACCATTAACAAAAATTGCAAAATTATCTACACCTAGCTCTTCCTCTGTTATCCATCTCTCTCTCTCTCTCACACACACACATATATGTATACATATACATACATACATATATATATATATATATATATATGAAATTGTTTTCAAATATTGATATGAGTTTGAAATTGTATATGAATCTAAACTTCATAAATCTGATCTTGAAGTTTTCAAACCCACTTTGTTTTCAAATATATGTATAGATAGAAAAAAAAAAAAAAAACTTCATGGACCTTGTCGCCGAGGTTGAATTCAATCCGAGGGTTGTCGGCCTTTGGTTCTCTATTGATCTCTTACTTAGCTCCAACCTGAGTTTGATTTTCGGGCCGCATCGGCGAAGCCGTTTCTCTTTTCTTGTTTCTGATGCCTTTGTTCCTGATGTCTTCCTCGGCCCTAGCATACTTCTCAATTCTGGGCCAAACTTTTAGTCTGATCTTGTGTGTGTTTCCTTTTTATCTCTTTCTTGGATTTGGAGATACTGCTCATGTGCTCTTCTCTTCTCGGACTCAGGTCCTGAGATATATCTTCTGGGAATCTTGGATCTACTCACTCAGCGTTGAGCCTCTTTTTCTCGTACCTACTCAGCTAGGCGAGATCATGTCTTCTGGGATTCTGGGATCGCGGATTTGCTCACTCAGGTTGAGCCTTCTATACTTGAATGTTATCTTCTTGGGAGCGCTCATGCCCCTGTTCTTTGCATCCCTTCTAGAAGGGTCTTCATTCCCCGCAGGTATCTATCCTTTCATACCCTGGAGGTCGCTTCTTTGGGCTTCGATCTGTTGTCTTGTGGTGCGTCAACCTTCCTGGCGGGCTTCTTTCACTCCGTGACTCTGGTTCACGAGTGTCTATGTTGCTATTGTTCCCTTTCAACGTCGGATCAATAGTCTTCCACTTCCCAGCAGCGAGCGGTAGTCTTCTAATCTAGTATTCGTTCGTCATTGGCCATCTATTCTTCTTTTCTTTCCCACAGACGGCGCCAAATTGTGTGGGTGATTTTCCGACCACGCCTGCCCGCTTAGTTAACCAGCTGGAGAGCACTGGCAGAATAGAGGCCTGTCTTACCGTAACCAAAAAATATAGAATCCCGCGGGGTTTCGACCACCCGGGAGGCACTCCGACGATCAAGTCAGTGATACTCTCAAAGATAAATCAAGTTACTAAACTCACAAGCTTGAGTATTCAAAAGCATACCTTAGAACCCATGGAGTGACCTCTTTTATTAGTCAATACAATCCCAGTCCAATAGGAGCCTGGCCCTAATGGGATTAGGTTACTGCTATCTGGAACTCCCAGGGGATCAGGAATAACTCCTAAGAGTTTTATTCTTTACCAACTGAAGTCTTCTCCTCAATCTCAGGACTCTTGTCCATTATCCAAGTTGAGTTCCCTCTTCATTCTATGGACTCTGTCTCTTATCGCTTATCTCGGATTTGCTGATATCTTCGGAGGCAACCCGGCCTAGCGAGATGACCTCGGCACAACGACCAAGACAACGTGGCACCTCGGGCTGACACGTGGCGTCCACCTTTGCCACGTGTTGGTACTCAGAAAATATATCCCCACAGTGACATTATGTAGAATGTTGTAATCTGAAGCAGATACTGCTGCCAGTTGCTGTTACTGCTAATTATCTTGCCTACTGCTGCCAGTTGCTGATTTGTTTCTGGGATGCTCTGTCTCTTTGCTGCTCTGTCTCCTTGTGATGTTTTTAATCAATTTTGGGCAACTGCTGCTTCCTGCTGCTGGTTGCAGATGGTGAAAAGTCTGCTGATGGTTTTTCTGGATGTTTTTGGTGTTGTGGACTGCTGCTTTGGGTATTAGGAATGGAGGTTGAATGCTATGGCCTAAAGTTTGGTGTCCCTCAACAGATGCTATATTTAGTTTGTTTTGTTTGGCAACCACCAGTTGGGCTGTGATGCTTTGGCCTACTCTTATGTTGATGCTGCTGCAGAGATTCAAGTTTCAAAAGAGTTGATCAAAGAGTATTTGATAATCATGGACTGATCATGGATACTGCTTGAGGTTGATTCTGGGCTGTGTTTTAGTTCTGCATTTTGGACTGATCTGTTGACTAAGTGCTCTGCCTACTGTGGTGCTTTCTGGTTGTCCTGCAACTGGCGATCAAAAATCTAGTCAGCAAATCAACTTTTCCCGACCAATTAAAATTTGGTCGCGAATTACTTTTGCCGACCCTCAATTGGCGACCAAAGTAGCGATCAAAAAAATGGTCGCGAATAACTTTTGCCGACTTAAAAAATAGACTTTTAACGACCAATTTTTAGTCAACAAAAATTTAATTCTTGTAGTACCAACCCAACCATCTTGGTCGATTTCAAAACCATAAATGGTAGGATACATAGAAATTTTCTCAACCTGAATCCCATTCAATTGAGTGGTGGATGACATGCAACCTACCTAAATCCGACAAGTAAGCACCCCTATGTATGCTCTCCAATCCCCATAAAAGAGATTGCAGTTTCGAGCCTCATGTGGGGTATGGAGAGATACCCTTCTTCTTTTTTTTATTTTTTTTTCCATTAAATTAAATTAGATTAGGCTAGTGTAGGTTCTAATGAGTAAAAAATAATAATGCAAAAATGAAAAATGCAAAAGAGAAGGGAAAAAAAATTAGGTCGTGCTAATACATTAATTATTATGTACTAACTAGTGTTATGACATTATTATTGACCTCATTTAAATACAAATATAAATATCTTAAAACTTCTAAAATGATGTCACATCATCTATTAATACACCAGTTAGTACATTAATGGTACATATAACATTATTCAAAAAATTAATTATTAAGAGATGTATAAAAATATTAATTGTACTTCTTACACAATGCAAGCAAGAGTTTCTTTAAACCCTATGTCATGCATCTTCAATGGTTGTATATTATATGCATCCTATCATAAAAAATATATAATTTATTATAAAATTTCATCATATTAATTATAAAATATGTAATCTTGTTATAAATTAGCCGTAACAAATCGGTTCAAAATTTATAATTAATGTTGTAAAAGTTTGTAACTTAGTTATAATATTTTTTATTACACTAATATTTGACGAGATTACTCATTTTGTAATGGGGTAAATACCACAGCATTTAAGGTATTGTAAACAATACATGTCAAAATCAAGGTAAGCACGTATAATCAAAAAATAAAAAAATAAACAATAAAAATATAAGAAACAGAATTAAATTTGGAAATTCAAAATGTGGTTAAAGTACATTTCAACCGTACATCAAGAAAAATATAGGAAAGTTGTGGACTTAGGAAAATTAAACCAGAATCTTACCTAGAATGTTGATGTTCAGATTCAAATTTTTGAAAAATGTATCTAGACTATTCATTTATATAAATTTCTGATATCGAACACCACCAGAAAAAAATATTAGTGAGATATTGTGATTTACTAAAATAAATTGTACTTCTGAAACTAGAAAGATATTATCCCAAATAGTATTTTTTTACTAAAATAAAATAAACATTTTGTCATTCCATCTAATTTTATTTGAGTAAATAGACACGATGAATATAAATACACCTCTTAATATTTGTTTAAATACGGATTATTTTTATGATTTGAAAAATTACAAATACCCTATATAAGGATTTTTTTATTGATAAATTAATTAAAAAATAAATTCTAAATACTCTTCTTATATAATGATAAATTATTTGAATTATTATTAAAATAAATTCTAACATTTATAAAATTATTAATTTATTTTGATAATTGTATTGATAAAAGTGATTATTTATTATAAAATTAAAACTTTAAAAGACCGAATATAATTTTCAAACCATAACATGCGCAAATTATATTTTAAATAAATTCTCACCCATCAAATTAGTAACAGCAATTTTTCATTTTTATTTGCAGTTGAATTTACAATGTGGTTTACCTGGTTGGTGGATTTGCTATGAAACATGGGTAGATTGAAAAACACGTTCTATCGGCTACTTATCAGTTGTATGGTACTTTTATCATATATATCGAAATATATGAAATATGTATTTAAATTTTTATTTTTTATTTTTGACGTTCCAAACGTACTTAGTATATACCTAAGTTTATTATACTTCAGTTGAAATAATATTTTCTTATTTTCTTCTAAGTACGGAGATAAAACTCCTTTCATTAGACTTCTTTTTTGATTTTTAATTTTATACTTAGTATGATTTTAAAATTAAAACTATGACTGGTAAGTTATTTGATATATGACATTTAATTTTGATTTATATCTTTACTTTTGACATTAAATAATTATGGTAGGTTAGATCTTAACAAATTAAACTATTTAATTAATTTTTATATTTTTCTAAATTAAAAATAAATATTTTTTGATAAGCGTATCCAACCGTTACTCGTATCT